TTGCATAATAGCGATGGTGAACTGCTCGGGTTATTTATGAACCTTTCCTTTTCTTTTATGATACCGATGCCATTTGGATACAGACCATGTTGCATATTGTAACTGACTAAACGTCGTGCTTCATAACATGATTTTACATTGTAAATGGAATTGTCTCTTTCGCCATTACATAATTCATTTTTATAAAGACGCGTATGGTTCTTCTTCTCTAAAAAAGTTTTGAGGCTTTCAGAAAATTGTCGCAAACATAAATAAATCTAACTTTGTCAAAGATATAATTCTGATGAGACTATAATAGGTTGAAAATTACTTGGGTTGAAAATTAATTATTTGGGTTGTTTAAACGCGAGAATTTGTCGAGACCGTGAAAAAAATTGATTCCCGCTGTTCATTACGTCGCGAAACTTACAAATCTTTATTGGCTTCTTTGAATTGTTGAATTGATCGAGCAGATGGAAAGAATTGATACGGTCTTACTCTCAAATATTTTTTTAAGTCTTTTTGAAAAATTTAAAATTTTCTGAGGTTTCCATATAAGCGCTTTGTAAAGAAAACATGTAATTACAAAAGAAATTAAGACACACTACGATTGGGTTGTTTAAACGCGAGAATTTGTCGAGACCGTGAAAAAAATTGAGTCCCGCTGTTCATTACGTCGCGAAACTTACAAATCTTTATTGGCTTCTTTGGAATTGTTGAATTGATCGAGCAGATGGAAAGAATTGATACGGTCTTACTCTCAAGCTCGTATCAGATAACCACTTAGATATGTACGGGGGGGAGGGATTAGAGGGGGTAGTAAGAGTTCTATATATATACTTTTGTAGAACTTGCTCTCGACATGAGCTTATGCGCCCACATACACCGAAACACGTAAGTGAACTTACTTGCACTAGCGGAATGCAATATATTACGGTCACGTCATTATGATCACGAGATCACTTTAATTCTTTTCTCAACACCTAATCTATAATCTATATCGCGAATAATATTACGATGAATAATATCTCCGATCTACCATTCGCGCGATATTAAGCGCCTACGCATCACTTTATAGATAAGTAAATGGATGATAAAAATGGCAATTATTTCTCTATTTAAACTAAGTATATATACAGGTATATATATGAAATAACATTTTATCTATTACATAAAATGTGTTGCATGAAATATAATTATTTACGTATAGACTACACGGAATTGTTTTCGCACGCAATTACATCGACTACTACTTATTTTTATAATATGTTCTTCTTTATACATTTTGCGTATATAATTCTCCAATAATTATAAATATTTTCCGGTTGGTAGAAAATTTTTCTCATGACTTGGGAAACTTTTGTCAAATTTGAAAAATGTGAAAAACGTATGTCTCGAATGTAATAAATAAAACTTGCACATTTGATTGAAAAGGTCGCTCGATGAAGGGGACCGAGATGTTTTAAAAACCGAGAAGGTCAAAATCATACCGTGAACGCTCGCCATGGAGTCGCACGGTATTATCCCAGTCACGTGTTACTCAGACTTAACCAGGCGATCTGTCAGTCAGGCGGACGTCAGGACAGTCGTCAGCCTGGCAGTCGGTGACACGTTTCGTACAGGGTTCGGTGCAAATACATGCGCGCTCCGCGCGTTCTATTAAGAGCGAGGCACGAAAAGGCTAGACGACACGAGGTGACATCGAGATGGGTGACACGACATGGCCTTGCGCTTAGCCCGCCTCACAGTCTTACAACGACGACGACTATGCGGCACCCCGGAGCCTCTTCTTCGTTCGCACATCTCTTATTGCGCGATAGCTGCCGACCGCTTTTATTTCAATTTTTTATCCGCTCTCTAAAGCGTCGGAGACTCGACCGTTTTGTACAGCAAATTGCTGTCCTACAGAATTTATTTATATTTTTAATTTTATATATAATTTTAATATGATAGTGAGGTTTGATATTTTGGATTAAGACACTAAATAATTATTAGAAATTATCAGAGAAATAATTCATAGTATATAACAAGACGTAAAAACCTTTTCTCTTCTCGTAATTTATCATATAATTCTGAATATCTAAACTGACTTGATAATTCTCTTTTCTATAATTATTTGTATTTATGCATAATAAATATAACAGATAACGTAATATTATTCAATAAGTAATATCTTGATTGATCGACTAGCAACGCAGTTGATAGTCGATAACGAGATAATCTTATGGTATTTCGAAATAAATAATCTCTCTATTGGATTTGTAGTAATTAATTACTCACTTTCATTTGAATAATGTATTTACGATGTTGCAATATTTTTCATTACTTTTGAAAAGAGGGAAAGCTTGCAAAAAAAAAAAGAAAAGAAAGAAATAAGGAAGAGAATCTTCCGCATCCTTATGAAAGGGAATGCACAAAGTGCTCTCATTGCATCCGCTTAAGAGATTCAATGTGATTACAAAATTTATTACCAAGCGATATATAACGCAAGTCATGCGTATGATTACGGAAATTCACGTTACAATAACATATTGGCTCGTACTCCCCTCGATGCTTCAGAATTTATAGTGCGAGAATAACTACTGAGATCGCGCCAGATAGAATCTAAATGCTAATTAAACAGGTGTGCCTGACACGCGTGAAATTTAATCGGGTCAGCGATTATCGCGGTACTTTAATGCATTAAAAGGTATAAAGTCACTAAAGAAAGAAAAAAAGAAAAAACAATAAATCACGAGCGTCTCGAAGATAAAATAATATATACAACGATTCAAAGTGTACACATAATCACGTCGCTCTGAGATTATTCTATGCTGTGTGCGTGTTTCTGTGAGGAATGATAAAAACCCCCAACCTGTTATAGACATCTCGAGCGAATGTATCGAGATCTTTCTCTCTCTCTTGATCTCTTGAAAGAAGTTGGTATTGAGAGAAGTTGAAAGAATTAACATGGTGTGTCTAAGAAGCATATTTTAATCGTACATGGAGCATCGTCGTGAACTTTCTCACAGAGTCTTCATCAAGTACATTCCTCGACATAGCAACACGTATGCTATTATAGCTCGACGATATACGAGTAGCAATTTATTATCAGAAAAGAATTAATATTTGTCAACTATAATAATTTTTTCTACGAAATATAGAAAGAAAAAAAGAGAGAAGAAAATATAAAATTATCCAATTAATTTTTTTTATATCGAAAAGATGTAACAAGATAATAATAAATAAAAAATAAAAAGTTTGAAAATTATACATAAAAATAATATAATTAAATTTAAATTTTACTAAAAAAAATCAGTTTAAGAAAGCTTGTTGATTTGATAGTTCTCGCGTTATCTTTCGGATACTTTTGGTTATCGAATAAAGTATCGTATAATAATGAGTGGTCGAAAAGAGAATTCCGTTTGTCGGTTTTACAAAACGGGTAGGTGCGCCGGATAAACGATATGCGAGTCCGCGTGTCCAGACAAGCAGAACACTATTTATTAAAAAGTCAGCCTCACACGACCCGGCGACGTGTTATATCGGGAGGAAAGCGATAACACCGGACGAAGGGTCCTGTCATTAAGCCCCGTAGGTAGGAGCTTCGCTGGTTCAAGCGTTCGTTTTGGGTTTTACCATCCTCTGCGAAAGCGCTTTTCACTCTCGTGGAAGTGCTCGGTGGCCAAAGTTGCTCAAAGCCGTGGAACGGATCTTTAAACCCCGTTATGAATGTTACACCCGGCTATGTAATTGCGCAGACGCGAAAAACTTTCCGAGAAAAATATTTATTCGCATTTATACGACGGCACAAGCTTATAATCAGCTGTATATATTTTATTGTCATGCGTTTTTATTTTTTTTGGTGCGCGCGCGCGTACGGACACGTAGAAGTGTCAAATAAATCAACGAAAGTCCATTTAAATGGCGCAATTTGTTGCGCGATTATTGTCGTTGGCGCATTTCCTACTTGACTGCATCTTTATCCGTACGACTCATCGACTCTTCTCTCCCTCGTCCCGCGCTATTAATATAGCCATTCATTATAGCTGTAAATGAACCGGCTCTTTAATATCCGCAATGACCCGTGCTTACATTGAACCTGAGAAAGCGAACGAATAACGTGGCACCCCTGTACGCGTAGCACCTGCTGAAGCATCGAACCAAAACCTCCATGTTAGTATTTCTGCGAAGAAGGGAAAAGGGTGGGAAGAAGTAGAAATTATTAGTACGTTGACTATATCGAAATAATCATACGAACGCTATAAAAAAAAAAAAACTATACGAATATTTTAGCGAAAAGAATGAACCATCTGCTTCATCAAATTCCACCTCGAAATATTTCATTTTCAATCCATTATGCAGATTATACAAGCGTCTATTATTTTCCTAATCTCAAGAGACGGTGTACGTAATGTTACGTATTTGTTTCACGCAGCAAATTGCTAATTTTTATTCCAGATTTGAAAAGAAAGAGAATAAATGAGGTAGAGGTACATTATATCAAATTGCGTTTGATTTACGCGACAGTTATGTCACACACACCTCGAATGCATCGAGGCTAAGCAACCGAGGGTCATTTTCTAACGTTGTTCGGCAGTCGTTGGCAGTTTTTGCGAAGGAAGCACGCGTGTAATAGAGGCGGAGTATCGTAATAATAGCGTTGCAAAATTATTTATGGCCGAGGCGTGCAAAGCAAATAGGTAAAACAGCTGCCAAGTGACCAGTTCGCGATCCAGCGGCACTGGCGAAGGCATTAACCACGAGACTCGTTGAAATAATTAACGAGGTCGTCACGCGTTGCACGCTTGGGCCCCTCCTGGTAATAATGCATCGTCTATGTGTGCTTTTTATTCGACCTCCGCACTTTTCCACTCGACGCTCGTGCGTGATCAAATCTTTCTTGGAAAAATATTTCAAACGTTTCACTTTATACCCGTAAATTAATATTCGTTCAAATGCTCCCTTCTACCAAGTTCATCCTCGCGTCGTCCACTAGTTCTTCTATCGCTCGATTAACGGAAAACGTTGGTTCCTTTCAGGTACGGTGAACGCGAACGGCGAGACGAAGCGGCAAAGGACCTCGTACACCAGGTACCAGACCCTGGAGCTGGAGAAGGAGTTCCACTTCAATCGCTATCTGACGAGGCGGCGTCGCATCGAGATCGCGCATGCTCTCTGCCTCACGGAACGTCAGATAAAGATCTGGTTCCAGAATCGGCGTATGAAGTGGAAGAAGGAGCACAAGATGGCGAGTATGAACATCGTGCCGTACCACATGTCGCCGTACGGGCACCCTTACCAGTTCGCGCCCCACCCAGGCCAGTTCACTCACTTGGCCACATAGGACGAGTTCTCGCCCGCCGAGCTCGGAGCACACGCTGTCCGGTTTCCCGGGATGTACGGCGAGCAGAACTTCTAAGGGCTTTTTCCGCCTTCTCGGACCCCGCGACGGGGTCGGTCGAGGGGGACCTTCACTTCCGGTAGGACACGTGGTGCGATTTCGCCGAATCCGCAAATGCGTCGATGGACCGCGAGCCTTCTCCTGTCTCTTCGTATATGTTTCAAAACGTACTTAAATTATTTCGCGAGTCTATATGTAGGAAGAGAGGAAGAAAGGAGATTCGCGAGAAGGAAAGGGATGATTTTTCATCCGTTCTCGTTCATCTTCGGCCTATGCGGATATACGCGCGTAATAGTACTGTACTGACTATTCGAAGTTGAAGGGAAGCCAAAATTTTCTGCATACGTATATAGCGCCGTATATGCACCCGACTTAATAGACTGGACGCGCTCCGAGGGGCTCTCTCTTCACGCACACGAGATTATATAAAATATTCATATACTATATATACGCGGATGAGAGACCGTCTCAGCGGGTGAGATAAGACCGAATTCTCTAGTTTAAGAATGTAGAAATTAGCGGTCTAAGTAATTAATTAATCAAATAACGAATTAATTAATTATCTTGTCTGGCTGCGCACTGTTTCACCCTAAGAATAATTACTAATCAAATTTATTTATTTATTGTTTCCTTTCTTTTTTTACGCATGATATTCTCTCTTTCGTTTAATCCCTTTCGAACTCGTCTCTGGAAAAACGCTTCGCAAAAGACTCGAAACAGCTTCGAAGAAAATTATATGTAATAGTTTGTAAGAGAGAACGCCTGTTAATACTCGAATTATATTCTTCGCCATTCTCGAAGGAAAAGATAACCTTTAGAAATCTAATATGATAGCGTATAAATTATGCTGGCTTTATGATGTATTCTAAAAAAAAAAAAAAAAAATGAGAAGTGCTTTAAGAGACGCGTGTACTATAAATCTGCATTAGTAGAATAACAACGAGACATTTTCATACAGCATAATTTACACGTGATAAACAATATTATTGCGACGTTAAAATAACTACAGAATCAGCAATTAAAAATTTCTGCGTCTTTATTTTTTGTATCAAACGCCTACATATACACATTCTTTCGCATAACCCATTAATTACTATATATACAGCGCTATAGAAATTATAAAAAGAATAGAGCATATTATAAATGACGTAAATTTATTTCGGAAATTGAATTTTGCACATAATATTCTCTTTTCACGATATTATTTTATGAATGAAACGGTGGGCAGCTACGGCCCCAGCATCTCTTTGTACATAATTTGCAGCATAATTTAACCAATGTCTCCCTGGAGCAGCCACGTTGTTCCTATATTGTCGATATGTAGGGAAAATCTCGCGTAGAGTCTAATATTCATTTTTATTCCACCGCATCGAGCATTTTATCCCGAATTTGATGACAACAAACAAATGAACTACCTATTGTTTCTCATGCGCGCGTCAACTATAGCGATTTTAATCCATAAAATATAGAAACGTAATTAGTTTCTATAATCTATACGACATAGTTGAGAGAAAAAAATCCAAACTATCCGAATAAAGAGCAAAAATATGGGATATTTCGCGCATGCGGGATTGGAACGGGATAAATGATAATGATCCCCAGAGGATGCGTTTCTTCGAGAGTGTGTCTGACTTTCGATAGGTGCAATGTATGCGCATGCAGCGAATACCGAATGCCCAAATACGCAAATTGTGCATGCAAATGTGCCGGCCGATTACGCGTATTTATCGGTACAGATGCGTGATCGGATGTGTGTTTGAGAAATGTATTATTATTATTATACTACACACGGATAATCGAGGTAACGAGGATAAGATCGAATATTGATTTAATCATTAATCCGGGAAGCGAGCGCAAGTGTGTAAACTAATTAGCTAGTATTCGAGTAATTGATTATATCTTGTGATACAACAGAAAGAAAAACATTGAAAAAAAACAGTCGCTCTATTATGTGCTTACTATGAATTGTCATAACCGCGATTTAAACGCGATGCAAATTCGGAAGAATACAGGGAATTTAGTATGTCGAGATTTTAAGCGATTACAAGCGAGTGAGAAAAAGAGAGGAGAAACAAATAAAACAAGAGAACTTCTAACTAGGCTAGTATTTGAATTGTACATAATTATTAAATATATAACAACACACACGATATCGAATGACGTTATAATATTGTACGAGACGTTAACGAAAGAAATTTTTCTTTCCACTTCATGTCATATAAATTGACGAGTGCCGAATTCTAGATTAAATTAAAAAGTAAAAGATTAAAAAAAACTCTACTTATCAGAGATAACACTTTGTGTAAAATTAATTAGATTAAATATAAGGCACGAAATTTTGAAATTGTATTTAATTCTCTGCGATGAATTCGTCGTCTTTGAAAATGTATGTACAGAAAAGAATAATTGATTCCTATAAAAAAAGAAAAAAAAATGCTGCCAGGTGCAACATAATATTTTTTTTCGTTATCGCCTGGTACACTATATGAATATTTAAATAAAGCATAGTGAGGATTATTATTATCATTATTATTATTAATATTATTATTATCATTATTATTATTATTATTGAAATTCTTGATATTATCTTTATTATTATATTGAGAGTGAATCTGTTGCTAATGACTTAGTACAGTGTTAATATTGTATTTTATTTGTTTCGTTATTATTATTTTTTTGTTGTTTACGCCGCGTGTCGTACAACACGTTCCGTACCTATGAATGATGTGCACAAATAATGCAAGATTTGCATCACCTTTTTTTTACACGAGAGAGAGAGAGAGAGAGAGAGAGAGAGAGAGAGAGAGAGAGAGAGAGAGAAAGATCCATCGCGTAGTCGTGCTATCTCGACGCCTATCGGAAACTTAACGTTTTCGTGGCGTAAGAGACGAAACGAAATGAAAAAAAAAAAAAAAACGAACAATCGCAGATATTTACTATTTATTCGTCAAAGGTGCAAAGAATGCGTTCTCTATCCAAGTTTAAATTAAGCTCAAGTATTACGTTCGCGTAGCGTCACTCAAATGTTATTTCATTCCATGTAATATACGTAATAGTCTAACTAAAAAAAAAATACTTACTTATTACATCTACGTAACCTAGAGCACCGTACGTGTAAGGTCGTCTAATTATATAATTTAAATTGTAATTATTAAATGGTATGACGTACAGAAAAAAATCTTTGATGCTTATTTCTTTCTGATACCTGTACTACAAAGAACTAGGGAAAGTTTGAGCCGAATATATTAATTAGAATATAATCTTGCTACACGCTCTCAATATACGACGGAATGAAATACATTTTGTTTTAATTAAAAAATCATCTTACGTTATGTTAACAAGCTACATACATATGTAACAAAGGGAGAATTGAATCGACGCAATTTGCGATAATTATTATATTTATAATTGTCGATACGATAATTTAAGACGCGCGTACTTTATATGTTGCTCGCACATAAAACACGATAACGTTGAAAGGTTGCGCGATGGCCTACGCGAGGTTATCTGCGAGATAGTTTAATACAACACAATGCATCTCATTATTTTAATTACGCAAACTTGCTATATATTGTTGTTTCGATCAATTTAATTACATTATTTAGTTTAGCAGCGAATAAAGTTCGGCTCGTCCTCTTTCCTTAGAAACGCTCTGAAGCAATAATGTCAAGGCCGATATACGGATCGTTAGGCACGTGTTCGAAAAATACATGTCGCATATAGTACTTACATTACATATGTACGTTACTCTCCGTGACTGATTCCCTCTGGCAACATTTGTTTCAATTGTTCACGCACATTCTTTTCGGCCAAAGGCTGGAAATCGACTGAATACTTTAGGCTCCTTCGCTTCTTCCAATAATAAATAACAATGCCCACTACAACGTTCATAAAGACAGGCCGATATGTGGTACGTAAACAGTGTATCCGCTAACTGTGTTTACGAGATTCCAATTTCTTTCGAATATAAATTTTGCTCTATTTAAAAACACTTTTTGTCGAAAAGACTGCTGGAGCATTCGTGTCTTTTCATTTTTGAAAAATTCGCTGAATAAAATTTAATTTTATTTAGATGTAATAAGTATAGACCGCAATATAGACTGGAGTAATTTATTTTAAATGTTAAAAATTCGTGCCTCACAATCGGACTTTCTCTTCCTTTTTTTAATTTTGATGAAACACGCAGCGTTATCTACTATGTCTATGACAGATGATCGACACCACATTATTTGTTTATAAGACCTCATTGGCGCGAGGTCATCTAAAGTGGGGATGATATTGGCACAGCGTGAGAAGGTCTAAAGTTAAAGTTTTATTTAGTCAATCACCAAACATCGACCGAAGAGCATCGGAATCGAGATATCGAAATTGATATTACCACGAAGAACAATAATTACAATGAAGAGCAATATTACGAGATACGTATTGTATTTTCTAACAGAAATTCCTGCATCTAGCGCCTTGACATTATCACTAAATCGTTTTCAAAAAATGGTTCGATTATTAATTAAATTTCCAACAATCGATAAATGCAACTGATATCGATCCGAATAATTTTTCAATGTATTAACTTATTAAAATTTTTCATTCAAACACATTTCGCCACTTTACATTAATAACATTTCTTTATAATAAAAAATAAAAATTGATCACGTACGTTAATTAATCTCGCGGGCAAAGATTTTAAACGTGACGTGAACTTAGATTCGTATAGAATGTACACTCGACCATGGCCAGTTGACATTTTATTCAATCTGAAGGCGCCGATAAAGATCACGTATCGGCGGCAGAGGGTCATCATGTGTGTGTGTGATAAAGCAGCGTCACACCCTCGAAAACTATCGAAGCGGACAGGAGTCGTGTAACAAGAAAACAAGAGAAGACAGGACTTAACGCAAGTCATGATCCGTCACAGGACTTATTCGAACGTCTGAGAGATCTCGTACTAAGCTACCGACGATGACGCCGCGGATATTCGATCGGCTCGTGCACCTTTGTCAGAGATTGCGGGAAGGTGAACCGTGACTTTCGGTGTATAGTCCGTAACGGAGCACCGTATAAATGAAGAGTAAACCTCTGGCGCCAGTAGAGTCTACCGTAAGGTCACGATTAGATTGGAGACCCTTCCCGCTCTTCGCAAAATAAGGTAGAAGTCTAGAACAGCTGATCGCGAATTACTCACATTAATCACAATCACGATGAACAATCTTCGTGATTTACTCGATCAACGATATATGTACGTAGGCGTATATTGTTTCGCATTGAGAATTGACACGGAGGGAATTACAAGGAAATGCAATTTTCTTGAATAAGCTATTAAGCTGAATGCGGGGGAAGGGGGGAGGAGAAAGTGCAAGAAAGTTTTCAGACAAGCCTCTCTCGTCAGTCTATCAGAGACGAGAAAGATCCCCACGACGAGCATCAGCATTCGCGCGAACACCGTAGGTATATAATACCTCTCGCCTGCCGTCAGTCACTCAGTCAGTCATTGATACCACCGGGGTGATTAATGAAGAGTCAAGGTTCGGGATCACGGTACCGTGTGGCGAGTGTGGGGAAGAAGAAGAGGAGAGAGGGGACGAGGAGGGAGGGAAGGAATCGCGGGGCTCACGACATCGCGAAGAATGTCGATACCACGCGGGCACCGAGAAATGAGTGCGCGTGGGTCGTCTATTGTGAAATTAAGTCTTGTTCAAGGTGCGGGATTTATCGAGCAATCATGTCGGGTATAATTCGACACGGAAACGTTTAGCAGCGAAAGAGACTTGTGACGAAGGAGTTGTTCGTTCTGTGTTTATATACGACTCTTCTATCTTCTTCGGTTATAAGTAATTTTGTCTTCCGTAAAAAGATTCATCTCTTTCCCTCTCTCGTGAGAGAGGGACGGAAAAGTATTTCGAATGCAGGATACATAGGCGGTTTTGAAAATACATGGAGAGAAAGGAGCGGGCGAGCTATCCGCGTATATTGACTGACAAGCGTGGCAGGGATCCAGGAGCGCAAAACTTGAAACAGGCTTCACGTTTATCCATCCGCGCTCACGTTCGTTCCGTCTGTCCGTCGGTCTGTCCATCCGTATGTCCGTCCGATGTCCGAGTCGTCGTCGTCGTCGTCGATACCCGCCCTGTCCACAAACGGAGAGCGGAGCAAGACTTCAGCACTTTTATGTACGGAGTCTGAATAACAAATCTGTCCAATTCACATGTCGACATCAAAGAAGATAATATAAACACTACATCGATACATCGTCTACAAAACCTTAATGTTTTATTAATGCGGCCTCCATTTCCCCCTCGTGTCCCCAGTATATATCCGCAACGAAGCACGTTCCATTCCATCCCCAGTTTAGGCGACTTCGCGATGGAACCACCGTGGAAGATCTCCGCAAGAAGAGAGCGGCTATATTCCAAGAGTGCGGAGTATCACGCGTTAGTGAAACACCCCACGGGATCGCTGCCTCCGTTTTATACGTTTTACGTTAGCCGTTCCACTCGTGATCGCCCGAAATACCTCGATCGGCTATCGCCCTAAGATATCAAGATTCTCATCTCGATACCACGTTACGGTCCGTCGATGTTTCAGTGGCGAATATCAGACGAGGAGGAAAACAAATGTTGAATTATATGCTTATCTGGTGATTCAAATTACGAATTTTCTCTAATTGTGAAAGACATTTATACTAACGAGTGAGCAAGAAAGTGTTATCAACTATTTAGCAATAATCATATTCTTCAACACACTTAATATGACTTTAATCTATATACACATTTTTTCGAATTCATTTCTCGATTCTCCTAATTTAATGATTGCTATCGATATAATGAATGATTATTGATATTTTTGCACTTGCTTGACATGCAGCGTCTTCTTTGAAATGCATATCGAAAGATGATTTGCGTATCTCTTGATGGTCGATTCCTAGTATTTCTGTTACAGATCCCGCGGAAAAATTTCCATGGAATATTCGATAAGGCATGGTTCTACTTGAAACAAGTAAGTGAGCGTTACGCAGACGTAATGTGTAAGCCCAGCCCAGTGTAATAGTATGCAGGAATGCAGGCATGGTAGCGAACGACAGGGTGTATATAGGTGCTTGCATGCTGCAGGGAGGTTTGGAATCGAGAAAAAAGGAGAAAGGAGGAGAAAATGCCGAGAGGGAGATAGAGTGAAGTACTGATCCGCGGCCGATGCCCAGAGAAGACTGAGAAACTCTGAGTGACAGCCTCGCCACGTACGTGGGAGGCGAGTCCGCAACAAAGGAAAGACGATAGCCTTATGCAAATGCAGCCGATATCGGACGCGTGTGCAGCTTCTTCGGTTCTTGCAGGATCGGGCCACCGGACGAGCTCGAATTTGAGACGAAACGGATTCTCGAACTACTTTTATAAGATTTGCCCGGTCTAACGGAAATACGCCGATACGAAACACAACGTCAATTGATAACAAAATAATTTATGCATTTATATAGATATATGTATATACCGGTACTTATCTTCACATTATTATATATAGATTTTAAAAATTAATCATACTTATTTTACTGGCAAAAAAGGATTTTAAGCTCTAGCTCGATATATTATAAATGCCTAATTTAAGAAAAATTTTTCATATAGTTATAAAAAAATTCTAAATTTAGTTTGAGTTATATTAACACATACTTTCATCGCTGAACAGGTTGCTGAATAAAGCGAATTTATTTTCGAGATATGAAAGAATTTCGAATTTCATTAAACAAATATTATATACACACTTTGCGTTAAAAGACAGGAGAATTTTTATTTAGTTTAGTATAAATTTTTAAGAGAAAATTTTTAAGGAAAAATTTTGAAGGGACTTTATTATATAAGGGACGATTATTATATATTTTTTACCTCTATAATATATTTTTAGAAATTACAACAAAAAGCACCTCATCAATGTTAAATTCCTTTGGTGATTAAAACATACATAGACACTTATATATCCAGTGAATATAAATTGTTTCACAACGTCAATATGCTAGGCTTGTGTCCAATTGAAGATATTAACAAAAGTAGCGTCGGACATAGTTTCCTTTAAGGTAAGAAACCGAGTTATCGGTTAAAGCACCGGCTCCCTTTAGAGACGTCACTTGGAATTCCAAATATCCGCGAGTTTCTACGATGTAATAACGAATGACACGGGCGGAGAACAAACGAAACGAGAAAGTCTGCCGGTGGTAAGAGAGGTTCAGAGGGTTGAGTGCGCGCGAGAGAGGAATGAGGTGGTTGTATGAAGAGCGAGGAGGACCAACGTGGAATGGGAAAAGCGAGGATCGGTGGGGGACTCGCTACAACCGAGTTCCAAAGGGTCTAGGCGCTTTCCGACAAGAATTAATCATCCCTGGCAGCTCTCAATGTCCGTACCTACTACTTTCCTCGCATTCCCAATTATACGCTTATCTACCAAATCTGCTTTAGAGTTGAAATATTAACAAGTTTTCAAACGACGTGGATTGCCGCGGGAGTCGCTCCGCTCTGATTAAAGTATAATTAAAATTATTAGGCAAATTTTTGTCTCGACCGAGCACAGTCAGACGGGAAAGTTTGTAATTGGAATAAGAGAATTAAGCTATCGATAAATGCGAAATTATATACGAATAATCTTATATCTGCATTTGAACAGAATACATGAAATCTGACATTTTTGGAGCAGTTTGATATTTTATTTGCAAAAATTGTATTTCTATAACATAAAGATTAAAAATTGCATACAGCTTTTAAATAATTCATTATTTGTTCTTACATATATGTTATTATTGTATTTTAGTAATTATATACATCGACAGAGAAAGAAAGAGAGAAAGGGAGAGAGAATGTCGAGAAATGTTGACAGAATTTGATTTTTTA